TACCTGGATTATTATTGCTCAACCAGTAATTAACTGACTTCTGACCGGACTCTGTCTCGGCCGTGATACACATTGCGGTTTTATTTTTATTTTCCCCTCTCCTTTCTGTTTTTTTTCTCCCTATTCGTCGGCAGCATATCATCCTGCCATTGAACTGAACTTTAAGTAGCATTGTGTTTTGTATGTGTCATTGACGACATTTTGTTCATGTTGTTTGTTTTCTTATTTTTACTGAATACACACACTAAAATCTATGACTCCAGTGTACTCATTCACAACCCAGGCTCCGTGACGATCCATCTTCTGTTGCTACATAGCATCCGCAGTCAACTGCCTAGCATATGAGTGTTACATACACTTTACAAAAATGTTTCATTAGTTCACATCAAGTCCCCTTGTGGTGAAAATAAACATTTTAATCTTGTTTATATGCCTATGTGATGTTTTTAATATGCTTTAAGACAAACCATGTGCAAATTCATGTCAACACCATTGCTGAATATTTTCTCTTTTAAAACTGCATTGATCTAAAGACAGTCTCAAAAACGAAACAGCTGTTTTTTCTGACGTCACAAACTACCTTGTAAACGTGCCGACGGGCTTTGGCATTTCATTAACTATGACCGTTCTGAAGCAGTGAAGTCTCAAGAGAAGCCTGGTTATTTGGGTTTATTTTTCTGTTTATATGAAAAATCAGTTACATTTAGCAATAAAGTGGGTGTATGATGTATATTACGATGTTATGATGAACTATATGCCTTTCTCCACTAATGTTCTGAGTTGCTCAAAGCGTTTCTAAGGATACTGATTGTTACTGAAGGCAGCTGTCTGACTGTCTAATGGTCAGTGGTGGACAGTGACGAAGTAAATGTAATTCGTTACTGTACTTAAGAAGCTTTTTTGCGTATCTGTACTTTACTCAAGTATTTAAATTTTGGGAGACTTTTACTTTAACTCCACTACATTTCAAAGTCAAATATCTTACTTTTTACTCTACTACATTTTCAAAATCAGTCGTTCCTTTTTATTTATGAGTGGATAAAAACGTAACTGGTCAAACGAGCCACCAATCACAGTACAGCGCGCGCGCTTTGTTTTGAACTTGCCTTGGCGGAATCTACTAAGCGCGAACCAGGGGTGCGTTTCCCAAAGCCAACTATGGTCGCAAGTTCCGTCGTCACCAATAGAGTTCAATGGAAATTGCGATCATAGTTGGATAACGATGCTTTCGGGAAACGCACCCCAGAGCCGTTAAATATGAGAGTTGCGAACATAGATGGTTGTGACAGTGATCTCGCCGCCGCGCGGTCACGTTATTCGTGTAGCTCTCAATAGTTCCAAACAAATCGCGTTGACAATGATTTTAAGCGGGACAGAGAGCAGCAGCTATTATTGCAGCAATTATCGGTAAGTATTGACGCATAATGTACTGCTTACGTTGCCACTAAAATGACTTGCATATAATAGCTTTTTTTTCTGGGGAGTAGCCTAGCAGAAACACTGCATTAATACGTTTTTGTGTTTGGAGGGAAATTGGCTGCTCCCATAACATAGAATATAGAATATATATATATACATAGCCTATATATGTATGTGTGTGTGTGTGTGTGTGTGTGTGTGTGTGTGTGTGTGTGTGTGTGTGCACGCGTGTGTGTATATATATATATATATATATATATATTTAATGGCGTCGTGCAGGTTTATGTGAATGTATCATAACATTAAGATGTTAATAATTATGGAGAGAAAAATATATACAGTAAATACTGTAAATGTTTTATACCTTATGGGAACAGTCCCCTTCCCTCCAAAATTAAACACACAAAAAATTAATTCAATTCAAATACATATATATATACATACAGTATATATATACATACAGTATATATATACATACAGTATATATATACATACAGTATATATATATATATATATATATATATATATCAGACTAATTAATGTCATTTCATTAATAGATCGGTGTGCCAAGAGTGACATTAGTCTTCACTTAGACTGAGTTAAGCAAGAGTCTTGTGACAAATTATAATAGGACATTATAGCCATAAAAAAAATCTAAGTACTTGGATACTTAAGTACATTTGAAGGCAAATATTTTTGTACTTGTACTCAAGTGAATGTTTAAAGGCAGCACTTCTACTTTTACTTGAGTAATATTTTACCTTGAGTATGTTTACTTTTACTCAAGTACATGGTATGTGTACTTCGTCCACCACTGCTAATGGTGAACAGGAACATGGTTTGTGTAACATTAACAAAACATTAGCTGTTTGATAACGTAGTGAAGCAAAAGGCATAATCATATTAATTACCCTTAAGTAGGGGTGGGAATCGCAGCGGACTTTAATGAAAGTAAAGAGTTGTGAGAAAATGTGATGCGGCAGGTCTTAAAGGCTACGTTCACACTGCGAGCCTTAGTGCTCAATTCCGATTTATTGCTCAGATCCGATTTTTTTGTATAGCTATTCACATTGTTGTTTTAAATGTGGCCAATATCAGATTCCAGTGCGAACAGATCACGGTCCTGAACTGACCAGCAATGTTGATCTACATTGAAGTAAATGTCACATGAATTGTGACTGTTCAGACTGTGGTTGCATTGCAAAACATCTGATCTGTATCGGATTTAGTACCACATATGGAAGTTGCACAAATAGGAATTGAAAAGATCAGATTCCATGTGGTTTGTGCTGTTCACACTGTCATGAGAAAAACAGATATGAGTCTCATGTGAGCAAAAAAATGCAAGCACTGTTAATGCAATAGATATTATTTCCAATTAGTGCAATTCAACAAGCTTTTTTGTTTCAAAAACATTTGTCATTATTTTACTTCCATATCACTACTCTTGAATGAATAACATTTGTAGCTTTAATAAGGATTAATCTTTATTTAATTTATAATTTATGCACTGAAGACTGTAGTGTTTGATAACTTTATTACATTTCTGTATCCTAACTGTTAGACCTACCTTAAAATCTTAAAGCACTGTTTACAAGGTTACATGGGTCAAAATCGATGAAAACAATAACTTTTTGTGCATTTTAACAGCGCAAGTAAAAATCTGAACCGGTCTGACTGCGCCACTAGAAAAAATTGAGTCCCGATTTATTGAAGAGCACAGGTAAATGTGACATTTATTTTTTGTTATATATTTGTTATTTTTTAAAGCCATATATAAATGTCAATTAAATGTTAAATTATACTGTAATGCTGAATGCCTATAATTAATGGCTAAAATATATATTTCACAGAGACATCAGTTAGCAGTATTGGTATCGGTGATACTGGCCTTCTTTATTTAAAATATAGGCTACTGTCTTTATGTTGTTTCTACATACATTTGTAGATTAAATGCTAAATTATTACAGTATACAAATACCGGTATATATTTTTTGAAAACTTTAATGTTAAGTGAGAATAATCGCGATTAATTTCAGAAAAAAATGTGGGATTAGTCAGAACAAACAATGAACAGCTGTATTTTTCTTAAAGCTGTAGTCCGTAACTTTTTAATAATTTTTATTAAAGGGTTAGTTCGCCCATTTAAGACATGAAGTTGTATGCAATCCTTACCAGCACTATAGTGCATACACACTGACCCACTCTGTTGTCACCTCCCTGGTCAGAGTTCTGGCCGCTGGAAGTTTTTCAATAAAGTACTCCCGGTTATTTTCCGGGGCCACAAAACTGTCCGTTTTTACGTGAAAAAATGATTTGCGTTTCAAAGCTTGATTAATTTACCACACAAAAAACACGCCGGTCAAAATTCATACCTCAGTTTTAATCTGCACTATTTTCTATCCATTTCTATCAATCCGCGCTGCTTTCAACGTCAACAGTGCGCACGTTGTGTGTATGCACTATAGTGCTGGTAAGGATTGCATACAACTTCATGTCTTAAATGGGCGAACTAACCCTTTAAAGTACATAACCAGCCAGTGTTCAAAACTATCAGGTTGTCTTAACTCGATTAAAAACGGTAAGCTTGTAATAATGTTTTTAACTCCAATCATACATAATTGGTACTGGTGGATTTCCGCGGGAAATTCGAGCATGTCTTTGCGTCATTACGTCACATCTGTACACATAAAGATGGTGTCTCGGCTAGTAGGCTATATTGCGTGTGAGGATGTTGGAGGTGGAGATTTATAGCCTTTTCTCACAGCAATTGATATAATTAAACTTATCAATTTGATGGCGGATCCAGAAAGGTTCAAATGACAATCACCAGTGACAACTGGAGATTCACCCATTGTAAAATGCAAAAGACTTCGGAGTGGCTACAGAAAAAAAAAGACACTGCAACCAGGCCCATGCGAAACAAGGATAAATATCGGAAGGGCATTAAATGTAGTCACGCAATGCTGATGTTGTTAACAGTAACTATTTGAGAACAAAGTATAATTTGCCCGGTTTGAAGTGATATGATAAGCGATCGTTAGACTTAATCAGCGCGATTTACTGCAATGCTTTTTTTCCCCTTAGTTGGTCAGAACAAAAGTGGATGTTACTTACTTGTTCAGATGACATTTTCCACTGAAAATTCTTATGTTGGTCATACTTCCAAAAAGTAGAATCTGTGATTCCGAATGACAGTATCCACACCGGCGAGGTGACTGACAGCTGCACATTCTCTTCAAAACATTGGATTAATTCGCGCTGTGCCATGTCGAGGCATAACCCACATAAATTTGATAATTCTGTGAATAACTGCAATTGCAGATTTCAAACAGAGATGGCGACAAAGAGGAAAAACTACGGACTGCAGCTTTAACTAACATTAACTAATATTAATAAATACTGTCACAAATGCTCATTGTTAATGCATTATTTAATGTTAATAAATTAGACCTTATTGCAAAGTGTTATATGCATGCAATTATTTTAGACTCAGCCACAGCTAATTGTCATATTTTGCAACCAGTTTTTAGACAAACAGTCTCCTGCTTTGTGTTTGTATGTTGTACCATCAACTGTACCTGACTGGAGCTCCACTTGCCCTCATCAAATACGTCTCCTAAAATGAAGACAACTTCTGGATTTAGAAGCCACAGAGATGTCTGGAACGCTCTTTCCATCTGCCATTCTCTGCGAAAATATAATAAAAAATACTCATAATAAAAATGTGCAGAGCTTCCTTCAATAAAAAAAAAAATTACTTTGCCCAATGTAAAAAATGTATATAATCTTTTGTAATGTTCACAGACTGTTTTTTTTTTTGTCTTCATAAATGAAAACTTTTAGATGGATTTTGAACCCGTCTATTTGATCAGTTTATAATTAGTTGAAGTGTACTGCTAAATGTTTAGGTGATTACAGTCCTGTTCTAAACATGTCCTACAGCAAAACCATGGTACAGTGATGATATGTGATGGAATCATATTCATGTAACGTTACTGTGGCATTTAATACAGTAGCCTACTCCAATGTACTGTAACAAAAATGTCTCAAAAACACATGGCAGGCCTATTAAAATAAAACTTTTTTTCTAGCATGTTTAGATAAGCAGGTCGTACGCTTCTGACACCAGATAAATACCTTCTGAGTTTGTCGAGCCAGTGTCCTCTGATGGCCCCTAATAAGTGAGTATCAGAGAGAAATAACGCCCGCAAAGGTGAATGTGAATCTTCAGCTTCAATTTGCGGCCATGAGCAACGCAGAATAACAGGATAATAGATCACATATTCACACAATACAAACACGCTGACAAAAACAAAAATCAGAGACACAGCTAATCTACCACTCGATCCAAACATCGAGATCATTGTACGAACCCGTTGTATTACTGCAATACAACACGATACACGAGTTAAATCTGTTGGCGAAAGAAAAATCGCATCTAACTAGCGTGCTCGAAGCAATATGCTCTTCTCCAGCTTCATTCTCAATAACATGTCATTTTTACATGAAAAAAACAACAACATCGAAACGGAAGAGACATTACAATATGTTTTCTCATAAGGTCGCTGTATATCTTGATGAAAAATGCATCAGTGTATCGCAGATCGCGATGTTTTTAAATCCTCTCAGGGTAACCAGCAATGTTGCAAGAGCAGTTTTGCTAAACAGACAAACGTCACAGCTGTGCGCGTGTGATGAACATCTGAGCGGACATTCAATTCATCAGATTCTGTGCGCGCTTGAAGAGTGCCATCCAGTGGTCAGTCATAATATTACGACGTTCCATTAAAAAGATTCCCTTTGAACCTTTAAACCTTTAAAGGGATACTCCACCCCAAAATGAAAATTCTGTCATCATTTACTCTACTCACCCTTAAGTTGTTGCAAACTTGTATGAGTTTCTTTCTTCTGCTGAACAAAAGGACGATATTTTGAAGAACGGTTGGAACCAAAGAGTTGTTTGGCACCATTGACTTAGAGAAAAAAAAAATACTATAGCTAGTCATTGGTGCCAAAGTTCCAATCGTTCTTCAAAATATCTTCCTTTGTGTTCAGCAGAAGATAGAAACTCATACAGGTTTGCAAAAACTTGAGGGTGAGTAAATGATGACAGAATTTTCATTTTTGGGTGGAGTATCCCTTAACCTTCAAGTTTTAGATCAGTAAGATTTTTTAAATGTGTTTAAAGGAAGACTCTCATTTATTTGTTCCAAAATACAGCAACAACAGTAATATTGTGAAATATTTTTTACATTTAAAATAACTTATCTATTTGAATATATAGCCTAAAATATAATGTCTTCCTGTGTTGGCAGAGCTGAATTTTCAGCATCATTATTACTCCAGTCTTCAGTGTCACATTACAGAAATCATAATATGCTGATTTGCTGCTCATGAAACATTTATTATTATTCTCAATGTTGAAAACAGTTGTGTGCCGTTTTTCAGGATTCTTTGGTGAATAGAAAGTTCAAATGAACAGCATTTATCTGAAATAGAAAATTTTTGTAACATTATAAATATCTTTACTGTCATTTTTGATCAGTTGAATGCATTATGCTGAATTATATTATACTTTCTTTAATTCCTTTACAAAAAAATCTTACTGATCCCACATTTTTCAACAGTAGTGTATAATGTCTATGTCTATTTCAGATAAATGCTGTTCATTTGAACTTTCTATTCATGGGAGATGTTCAACTTCACTTTCATGTTCATCAAACCATTCTGTCACAAGTCTTGCTGTATTATTGGTGCATTATCATGCTGATACACGTCACCCCCCTTCAGGGTACAATGTTTGAACCATTAGCTGCACATGGTCCTCCAGAATGGTTCGGTAGTCCTTGGCACAGGAGGGAATGAAAATATATTGCACCCCAAACCATCACTGATCCACCCCCTGGGCTGTAAAAAGTGAACGTTCAGTTGGTGCTTAAAGGAAGTATTTATATCTGATTCTACAAATTCTCATTTTGTTGTTGTAACCTATAATCAGTTTTATGTAACATAAAACAAGGGAAAACTGTTATAATGTAATGTAAGTCAAATATGTTGACTTGCATTGGGCCAACAAACAATTTCCAATAAAGCTCAGGATGGACACATGTGACACATGCGCATTTGCTCCTTGCTAATTGTCAAATTTTGCTTCAAGGAGAAATCTTGATTTGGAGTTATTACACATTATGTTGCATCAAAGTGAAAATCGCAATTGACAGCGCTACTCTTCAGCACAGTGGTAACCTCAAAATTCAATAAAAGAAACTCCTAAATGTTCAACATAACTGAACATTAAACATTAACATAAACTACCAACATCCTTCCCTTTATTGAAAAACACATTAAATAACACGTAATCCATAAATGTACTCTCCTAATGCAGTCCCTTGCAAAGCATGCTGGGTTACCATTGTGCTGAAGAGTAGCGCTTGTTCATGGGCCCTCAGTCTTTACTCACACCTTACTTTGCTTAGTAGTTTATTATATACAATGTGCATAATGATACAACTCTGTTGACTGCTGATTATATTGAATAAACTTAATTAAGTTGTGTGTTAAAATGTCTTCAATTAAAGAAGGGTAATTCATTATTTTTGAGTGTATTTACATCAAGGTGGAAAAGGACTTTCATCATATTAAACAAAAAATATTATATCAAACTTATTAAGTCATTTTATCTAGTTGGATAAATCAGGTTATATCTACTGACACGACAGTTATGCTTCAGAAAACGACTCGGTTACTAACGTAACCTCGGTTCCCTGAGAGGAGGGAACGAGTATTGCGTAAGCTTACGCTATGGGAAAACTCCTTTTCTCGAGAAATATTGAAGTCTTTATGTAAAACGCATTGCAGCTGCACAGCATACAGCAATGAGCGAGGCAGCTCGGTCATTGGCTGTGCTGCGGCAACTTGCACGAACCAATGACGGGGCGACTCTGAACCCGCTTCCAATGAGCGTGCTTCGCGCCCACGCGCGTCAGAGCCCGCCAAGATGGGCGTGGCCAAGGGCTATTTATTGGGCGCCCCGTCATCTGAGTTCTTTAGGTTCAATCGACTGAAGCAAACTGACCAAGCACAAGCACGGCAGATTACGCAATACTCGTTCCCTCCTCTCAGGGAACCGAGGTTACGTTAGTAACCGAGTCGTTCCCTTTCGAGAGGTTCCTCCTATTGCGTAAGCTTACGCTATGGGAACGCCATGTAAAACGCTGTGCGTGCTGACTTCGCTTCTATTAAGCCGGAGGCCGGTGCCTGAGCCTTTGAGCGAAGTAATTATCCAACGAGCCAGCCGAAGGCGGGCTTTATAAAAGGACAACGTGGAACGGCCCGATGGGCGTCCAGAGACACACACAAGCACATTTTTATGTACTGTCATGTATGAAAAATCCTCCACATCAGTTCCAAAGATGTGATTCTATGAGGGAGGAGACAATGCTCAGCATGTACACACCCCAGCCTATGCATAGTTAGACCGACAGTATGCTAGAGTGCAATGAGGGGACCTGTAGGTTATAAAACCTGATAAATGTGGACGGTGAGGCCCAGCCTGCAGCCGCACAAATATCTTGAATGGGTATCCCACTCGACCACGCCCACGAGGAGGCCATGCCTCTCGTAGAGTGAGCTCTGATGCCCAAGGGGCACTGAAGGCCCTTGGCTTCATAAGCCAGCGCTATAGCATCAACTATCCAGCGCGATATTCTTTGCTTTGACACAGCCAGACCTTTAGTGCGGCCGCCAAAGCATACGAACAACTGCTCTGTCTGTCTGAACAGGGCAGAACGTTCCAAATATACTCTGAGTGCCCTGACCGGGCAGAGTAAATTAGCGTCACTTTCGTCTGCTGGGGACGATAGCGCGGCCAAAGATATCACCTGTGCTCTGAAAGGAGTAGAGAGCACCTTAGGAATATACCCGTGTTTTGGCCTGAGGACAACCCTGCTGTCGTTAGGTCCAAATTCCAGGCAGGTAGCGCTTGATGACAGCACGTGCAGGTCGCCCACTCTCTTGACCGAGGCGAGAGCCAGCAAGAGAGCAGTTTTGAGCGAGAGCTGTTTAAGGTGCACAGTTCGGAGGGGTTCGAATGGGGCACGCTTAAGTGCGTCCAGGACCGTGGCCAGGTCCCAAATCGGCACCGAGGGGGGGCGTGGGGGATTTATCCTCCTGGCGCCCCTCAGGAAACGAACAACTAGGTAGTTTTTCCCTAGTGTGCGTCCTTCGACCGGTTCATGTGATGCCGCTATGGCAGCCACATATACTTTGAGCGTGGAGGGAGTGCGGCCTGCCTCCAACAGCTCTTGTAAGAAAACGAGCACACTCGGTACTTCGCATGTCTCAGGATTCAGGTTCCTGGATTTACACCAGTCACTGAACACCTTCCATTTCTGGGCATATAAGCGCCTTGTAGAGGGCGCTCGCGCCTCAGTGATGGTTCTCAACACTCTACTGGGGAGGTTCCCGGGAATCCGTTGAGGGGCCACGCATGGAGGGCCCACAGATCGGGGCGGGGATGGAGGATCATCCCGTTGGCCTGTCTGAGGAGATCTAGCCTCAGTGGAATCGGCCATGGGGCAGATTGCATCATCTGCATCAGTTCTGGAAACCACGTCTGGTTCTTCCAGAGTGGGGCTACCAGGAGCACTGCACATTTCTCCTCCCTGATCCGACTGATGACCTGAGGTAGCATCGCGACCGGAGGGAAGGCATACAGCGGGCGGCTCGGCCAGACTTGGGCGAGCGCGTCTGTGCTCTTTGAAAAGAAGAGAGGGCAGTGCGCATTTTCCTTGGAGGCAAAGAGGTCGACCTCTGCTCTGCCAAAGGTTTGCCATAACCACTGAATCGTCAGGGGGTGGAGAGACCATTCTCCTGGGAGAACTTTGTCTCTGGACAGCATGTCCGCTCCCTGGTTCAGAACACCTGGCACATGCGCTGCTCTCAGCGAGCGCAGGTTGCGCTGGGACCACAGGTGAAGCTCCCTGGCCATCGAGTGCAGGGAGCTCGATCTGAGTCCACCCTAACGATTTATATGCGAGACTACCGTCATGTTGTCCGTTCGGACTAGGACGTGCTCGTCCTTCAGGTACGGGAGCAGGGCTCTGAGAGCCAAAGCGACCGCTTTCAATTCCAGACAGTTTATATGTAGGCGCTTCTCCGGGTTTGACCACAAACCGGAGACAGGCCTGCCCTCGTAAAGGGCCCCCCAACCTATTTTGGAGGCATCTGTCGTGATCATTTTTCTCCTTGTGTTCACGCCCAAACTCACGCCGGACTGATACCAGTCGACAGCTTTCCAGGGCGTCAGGGCTTTTATGCAGCCGTGATTTGCTCTGATTAAAAAGTGGCCCGAGCGCCACGCGTGAGTGGGGACACGGCTTTTGAGCCAGCGTTGGAGAGGACGCATGTGCAACAATCCTAGCTGGAGTACAGCTGATGCTGAGGCCATGAGACCGAGCATCCTCTGAAATCGCTTGACGGGGGCGCGCGCACCCGCTCTGAACGATGTTGCAAGGCGCCGGATAGTGAGCGCGCGCTCTGATGAGAGGCGCGCCGTCATCTGCACTGAGTCTAGCACTATTCCCAGAAAAGAAATATTCTGGCTGGGGGATAGCATGCTCTTTGCAAAATTGATTTTTAGACCTAGGCACTTTAGATGACTGATAATCCAAGACCTGTGTGTCACTAACTGGCTCTC